GGAAGGGTCGCGAGGGAACGGCTGCCTGGGGGAGGGCGCGGGAACAGCCCGAGAGCTAGGCGAGCGGGAGGGGGAGGAAGGGGCAGCGCGGGAGGGGGACGGCCGAGGAGCGGGAAGAGCTCGGCCGAGAGCCGGGAAAGGCCGGAGGGCGGGGCGGGGCAGGAGGGAAGAGCCGGCCGGGCGGATCACGTGGGGCCGGTACAAAAGGCCAAAGCCAAAGCGGGGGGAGGACTGGAGGAGGCTGGCGGCCGGGGGCGCCTGCTCGCCCCTCTAGCGCGGTTGGGCCGGGCCGATAGCCGGGGCCGGGGGTGCTGTGTCCCCATTGCACAGCTGGGGAAGCAGAGGGTCGGGCCAGGGTGGGGAGGCATCGGTGCGGCGCGGAAATCCGGTAGGATCTGAACTCTGATGGCGCCTGTGTTTACCGTCACCGAGCCTCCCTCCGCACCGCGGTGCCCGCGCCCCGCTCCCACGGCGACTCCCCGGAACCGGGTCGGGAGCTGGGGCGGAGGGCGGGGAGAAGGCCGCCTCGCTTCATCATTCCCTGTCTGCGCGCATCTTCTCCCCACACATCCACCCCTTTGCGGGAAAATCAGTAGGTGCGAGGAGGAGGGGAAGGGTAGAAAGTTGGGATGCCGTGTCGAGCCCTTTCACCACAATGACCTCATCCTCCCTACCCCCAGGAGACTTGTTGGACCTCACCAGAGCCATCTTTGTAGGGACCAGCGAAGGCTCGGTGGTGAGATCCGCACAGGGCACACAGCTGTCTGGTGGCACACTTCTGAGTTTGGAGCCTCCATCTGTCTAATGCCGACGCCTGTCTTGTACCCGTGCCCTGCGCAGCACTGCTCTTGTCCGAATTTATGGCCGAGCTGCGGACTGGCACTTTTCATGGCCTGCCTGTCCTCTACTGGCTGCATGGATGTTTCTTTGTCTGGTCTCTCTTCCAGTTTAAACTCCTGAGGCAGAGGCTGAGTCATACTTTTTATTACCCTGCATTCCCTGGAAGGGCAGTAAATGACAAGTGAAAAGACATACTAAATAATTGATAATCTTGTGTGGGAGCGTTTTCCTGCCACTGGACCTTTTTATCTGCTAGACTGTTTTCCCCAACACCTCCTCGTTTTATCTCAGCTTTACCTTTTAAAGTGCACCCTCTCGCTTACTACCTTATCGTCTACTTCCTTTTCTGAACTTTTGTAGTTTGACCACTTGCCCTGTTTTTCGTGTGGCACCGGTTGTGTGGCCTCATCTACGTTTTATGAATGCATTCCCAGGTATATTCTCTTCTAGGATGCCTCTTTGCATCTCTAGTGGCATAGAGTTGTGCAAGCAGTACAGACTCCAAAAAATGTTGCTAGTGAATGAACATTATTTCAGTTACTAAGAGATTGAATTTCCACCCCCCAAATCAAGCCCTGCCTTGTTTATACCTCAACCTATACTTTCCTGTCTCTATAGCTTTTCTCCACTCTAATCCTTAGCCTTATTCTATACCATAGACTGTCTAGACCATTCAATAATAACATAAGAACTTATATTTTCAACTCAGTATCCTACCACTGACAACTGCTAACGTCAGTGTGATGTGGTGAGATTTACTGAATCACCCTTCATCACCTACTGCCAAGCCCCATCCCCAAATTAGGAGAGAAATTTGGGGATAGAAAATAATCTATTAGAAAGAATATTTTCCATCCTAGATGAATCAGACAGATGCAGTCTCAGGTAAAATGAGAGATATTTGTAATGAAAATACATCTGGGGGGAAGAAGTGGGGGAAATTCTCTTTTTGAAGAATAAAGCAATGTTTTTATTTCCCAAAGAGGACAGATAAAGTCATATTAATAGAAAGAAAATGAGTTCTTCATGTGAGACTAGTGTGTGGTCTTCAGAAGAAAAATAATACAGAGATGAGTTGTGTTTTCTTTTGGTTAATTTAGAAGGAAACTAGCCACAGGCATTCCT